TGTTTTCTCATTTGAAGCAAAATGTGAAAGGATCATTCCAGGAAACAGGTAATAACCAAAAAATGTATGCCTTAGCTCATTTACTATATGAGTATCGAATTAAATGAACGAACCCTTTTGCTTTAATGGATCCGATGCAGGACAGCAGCTTCTGAATTAAGTTATCTAAATTTCGAAGAAATGATTCATGCATCATAGAGATGTCCAAATACAGGCATATATTGAATTAGTAAGTGCGGTAAAGTATACTGCATGAAAACTGCCTATTTGCTGAGGTCCTAAGGGAAGGCGAAGCTTGATTAGTACTGATTGAATTCTCCGCCTGGCTCTTAATCCATCCATATATTATCGCTTTTCTTTTCGCCTGTCCCATTTCACAAATTTGCACTTGTTTAAAACTCCCAAACGTTTGGGACAAGAGAAGGAAAGACTATTTATTCTTTGTGAAATTGACAGCATTTGCATAAATCTGACGAAATATGAAAACGTTTCAACTTAAAGGGTAGAAGAGTAATGTAATTGCGTGAAAGCTTTTGTCTACGTGAAAGTTTGTATATATTTTTGCACTACTTTTTGCTCTTACTCTTAACTTCCATAGTGTGACATTACCTTCTTTCAAATTTACAAACAAAAGAAAAACTATAGAACTGTGACGAAAGGTGATTTCTAAAATTTATTTAAGAAGATTTTAAAAATGAAATACATTTTTGCATGCAATAAATATGGTTTTCTGTAATATAAGCATAACCTTTTAACTTTTTGACTTGATATTATTCACTGCTTGTCAATATTGAATCTAATTTTAAATGCAATCTAGCTGATAAATGTATCGGCGACCTGATTTGATTTCCTCTTTTGAAAGAAAAGAAAAATTAATTTTATTTATGATTCTTTATTTTCTTCTTTGCAAAATTTCACAGATATGTTCATCTCGGTGTTTCTGCCCGTAATAAAGGAGACTGCAAGGAAGGGAAACTTAAAGCTCTTGAAATTTTCTCATTATTCTTTCTTACCCATTGTATTTTCAATCTTCTGGAAAATTTTGAAGTAAATTTATTTCGTGAAAAAAATTTCAATCTGTATTAGTCACATTCTTGATGAACAATTTAGTGAGTTAGGAAAAATTGTTGGATGTTACCTAAATTGATAGCTCACTTATTACTTCGAAAAAAATTTCGCAAGGTGATCAAAATTTTCAAACCTCAATATCACTCGTTTTTTGAAAATGAAGAATGAAGCTCATCTGAGAAAACAAATCATGTTAGTTTAGACATTATGACTAAATTGCACTACAAATTATTGTGAAATGCAGTTCTTTTAGCCTCGCACTTAAAATATTTTTGAAAATGAAAAGTTTGTAAAAACTTTTGTGGTTCAGTTTGAAACGAAAAACTTGTCTAGTTCATTTATTATATGACATCAAAGCAAAATTTATGAATTATTTGATTTCGTTTGAAAAATTTTGCCAATTTTTTTATGCTTTTTGATAACTAAATATAAGCACACTATTCAAATTACGTGCAGTTAAAATACGTGCTTAAATGACTGAGTATTTCAAACTTTTTAAGAAACACGTTTTGCTCGATGTCGTAGAAAGTTTTAGTTGATAAATCAATACCAGGGCATGGGCATCTTTGAAGATATTATTTCCTCACAGTTCGACTATCATTGAATGAGCAAAATTATGTCTCCCATGGTCCTAACATCGTCTTTCCACAATCTGCAGCGAAAACTTGTTAGCCGGCCAACTGGAACCAGTGAATATATTTGATGAAATTTCATTTAGTACAGTAAATTGTTCCTCAGTGAAATACACCAGCTTATCATTGAAGTTTTATTGAAGGACTGAATGGATAGGACTAGTTCTGGCGAAATTTGCAGCAAAAATTTGCCATATTAGAAGAATTATTTTCATGCATGAATAAAGCGTTATAATTGTATCAAAAACAATTCCCCTATTTTAATTAGTGACAGTATAAAATTAAATTGATTTATTGCACCTATTCCAGGTTGTCACTCTGTTTAATATGATTGACGTCTCAAGGGTTTCACTTTCGATTCTCAGGAGCATGCACTGAAATAGACATATACAAATGTGCAATTATCTGGTTTTAACTTCAAACTGTTTTATTTTCCTACCAACCAAATAACAGTAACATTGAGTTTGTCAAGAATAGCCTTTTTTTTTTATTTAGGTAGAATGCTTTATTTAGAAATCAATTTAAATAATATTTTTTGCAGGAAAATACAAAATTTTTTTACATCTTCATAGAAAGAGGCTTGGAACTAACGCACCAGTTTAAAAGTTTTCAACAAAGAGTCTGGTAAGGTCTCAGTTGGTTTACTTTGTAAGAATTCATTTAAGTTGCAGTTACAATCACAAAAACCGGTATGGTATTGAAAATATTACGAAGATCTTACGTGAACTCTATGAACTCTAGAAAACCTTGCGTGATTTTATGTGAAAAAAAGTAGATATGGGATCAACTTTGAGATAGAATCCAGAAGGAAGAAAATTTGCTTGTTATTCAAGCATTGACCCTTTAATTGCAAGGGGTCAATTTTTCCTTGAATGGATATTGTAGTGAAAATTTGGTATGTCGAACACGCTATCTCAAATATTGTAGAAGTAGAATCTTTCCTTTTTGTCCTTTTACACTATTCCAAAAACCGCTAAGCGGAAAGGGTTCCTGTTTTTCCATCCTTTTCCCTTTCTCTCCTTTCTTACCTTTCCTCAGTAATTCCATAACCTCCTCCTCCTCCTTTCTGAGGTATAACTACAATTTACAACTTCTTACTTCAACTGCTAATTTAACATCTCTTTTTGTTACCACACAGCCAAATCTTCGAGATTTCGTCCATAATTTACATAGAATCGGACATCCTATTAATATTTACCATAAATTCAACTCTATATGATAACGTCTCATATTTTGCACATAACAGGCTTTAAATGTTTTTCTTTTTTAGTGAAATATTTAAACTTAAACTAAAATCTGAATTTAAATTTCAACATCGCTCTTCATGGTATGTCTAGTGATAAAGTTAACACTAACTCAAGTAACTTTTGTGACTTCAATCTTATCCGTCGCCTGTGCTTGCATAGGCGGCTTTGTCAAGCAACAATGATGCTTGTACTTGATAAATATCAGAAATTAAAATCAGTAGTACTTCTAATGTTCGAGGTGATATGTTGTTCTAATTACAACTGTTAGATATTCTATAAGTTTCATGAATGCTCAATCTTTCGTAATGTGGAACAAAGAAAGCCGTGTTGCTCAATACACTGACCCTTTCCCTTGCATCCGTTCCGGCAAAGATAAGTGGCACTGAAAGTACTGCAAGTAATGGCTCTACTGAGAGATGAAATGAAGTAATAATGACTCATTGTGTATCTAAATGACATATAACATGCAGAAGGAAAGTAAAAGCAGTAGGGAAATTATTAAACATGAAAACGTGAATGAACATTTGAGGATAGAGGGAGTATGGGATGCTTGATGGAATCCAACAGTAGTAGAGATATTGTGGTGGTAATAGAGTTTATGATGTCCAAACTGAAGAAGCGCCTTCGTCCCATTCTTCAGCTTTTATTATATTTCTCTTTGTCCTATACATCCTTTCAGTCCACTTTATTTCATTTTCTCCTTTCTTCACATTCTCTTTGCCTAATTTCTATCACATTCAGTGGAAAATGTTAGATTCTGAAGAAAAAATACGCGTCGATATATCATCTTTGATACATACTATGGTAATTAAATATTCCAAATAATTAACGCGATGTCTTTTAATGAGACGAATGGATTATAGGATAATAAAAGTTATTTCATATTCTAGTGCACAACGATGTATGTTCCAGAGCAGTTGGAAGTTTTTTGCTTCTTTCTTGTATTTGTACTCACAATCATAACGATCAGTAGAGCATTCTGCAGTGAAACAATGGAATCAGAAAGTTTGTAAATCACATTAATTTAACAAACTTCTTTTATCAGTCCTGATTACTACTATCTTATCTTCCATTCAACATAATTATTGCAGCGTTAGTTTAGGATAGCAATCTGTACAAATAAACGCTGAAGTTTATGATAAATAGCAGACAGGAAAATATCAGGTAAATTAATGGTACTGTTCAGCAGAGGTTGAAATAAATAAAAACTAATTTTTCGTTATTGCTTGATCTTTGTTATCATTGGAAATTTTCGAATTTCAAAAATTTACTCCCTTAAAGTAGATATTCTGTTTCATTCTTCTTTTTCTTTTATATCAATTTCTAAATATGGTTTATGCGAAAATTTTCTACAAAAGTATTGATTCAACATCGACGGACCAATGATGTCGTCTTGATTTGACTACTTTTAATCTGGAATTCATTTCTCTTTTGATATAATTCAGTTGATTCCTTCTGTCCAATCTCTTACATAGGTTAAAGAATTTTCTTCGAAAATGGGAAATTTCTTGCCAGCATGCCAAAAGGTCGATAACTGCCTTCGAAATTTTTATTTCCCAACGATCTTTTCTGATTCTCTGTAGCGTTAATTTGCTTCAAAAATTGGGGCGTAGACAAAATTTTGAGGATTTCGAGAACGGTGAATTTTGCTTCTATGCCTGATCTTTACCTCTTCTCCAGTTTTTTGATAGTGTGTCCCATCGAAGATTTCTTAATTTATGCTCTTTTATTGTATCCCATTGCGCATACATTACTTCATCTGAGATTCTGAAATGGTGTATCAGAAGCATACAAATGTGAAATGTACATATTGTAAATTAATCAAGCCGTCTTTGTCTCATTATAATTTGAGGACTGAAGTGGACGATCAAAAAGGCATGGTGACATGAAGAGAAGTGGTGTACAAACATTACATGGCCTGAGCAGTTCATCGGCTGGTGAACTAATTGGATGGATGCCTTGCTTTCTCCTACTTCCCTCCTCCTCCTTCTTCCTTTCATTAGGGAATCACCACAATGTAATTCCAAGCCCAGTGCATTTAACAATATTAAATTCATCGCTCACTAGTCTCAGAACAGATGAAACGATAAGGACATCCTCCAATTGGGGTTCGGGGTTGTGGAAAGCAAGCCACTGGTCCGTTTCGCCAAAATTTGCTCCAAAACCAACCAACAATTTTTGTTGAGGACACGAAACGTTCATAGTTCCCAGAAGAGGTGTGATGCTTTTTTATAATGCTCTCATTTTCTACATCATCTATTTTCGTCAATTTTTGAACTGCAATAAGGTGGATGAAAGCTGAACGAACTATATTTTGCAATTTTCGAACCACGAATTCATTCCATCATATCCTTATGTATCACATACTCAAGGACCATTAAGAATTGATTTATGCATCAACTACCACATTCTACTCGAGGTGTTGTAGCTGCTTTCATTGTTGGTCAAATGACCGCTAGAATTTTATGGTCCGCAATTCAGAGCTTTATATTATAACATGGGAGAAATTCAATTATAAAAATTTATCAAATTCAACTGCCATTTTATAATGGTAAGGGCTGTTGTTTCCATGGAGAAAACATTTTCGAAAATCATTTTCAATCGTTTTCCCAACTAAACAAATATTTTAAGCATTGCTCCAAAAAGCTCCTTGAGGACTCAACCTATGCTTTCTGGGACCGAATCACTGTCAAATGCAGAAGCAACACTTGTTTTCACCAGCAATTTATAACTACTCTTCATAATTCAGAGTTTGGTCTGATGCAGCGCCTCAGCTCATGGTTTGAGCAGTTGCCTTTACGACGTCGTGGATCTTCTCGCCGATCAGAAAATTGCCCTTCGGGATTACACCCACACAAAAGGCAATCCAAATCAGCAGCACCGCGACTTCATTACAGCGTTAGTGCCGTACAGAGTCATAATTATCGAGACCATTCTGTTGATGTCCTGACACAGTCTGTGGTCATTAATGACCAGCTGCATGGTTGGTAGTATTTTGCGTTACTGAACAAATATAGTAATTCTCGATTTTAAAATGAAGTTTGAACAAAACAATGATCAGAAACTGCTTGTAACCTTTTAGAAATATTAATTCTAGACTGTTCAGCTATAATTTTATAATCCTCATTTGTGTGTATATTGTGACCACATGACATTATTATTTCATTCCTAGGATTTCCCTGATGTGCTTGCTGTGTTACGACCTGAGATAGCATAACATCCATTTTTGGCCTATTATGAAGCACCGTAGAATCAATTCCCAATTGTTAGGAGAAGCAAGTTAAGAGAAGTTGTGTGCAGCACGTATATTTTCATTTACTCAATTATTTCACCTTACTTTTCTTCCATTGCAGTAATAAAGCCGTCTTCTTGGAACAGGCAAGAAACGGTAACTCACTCATATCGCAACAGTTCCAAACCTGCCACATCCTTCTCCCAATCATTCTTCACACCAACTAGTTGTGGACGAAAGGTATGCTTCCATAATCTTCATGGACTAGATCTATTTATAAATAAAATCTAAAAAAGTTAACTAGATTTACATTGAATCTATAAACATTTCTTTAGTAATGAGCAAACAAACAGAACTAAAGCCGATCTGATCCGGTTTAATTCGATTCAATTTCAAGTATCTGAATTGAACTGATTTGCTTGCTGTTATCTTGCTCTTTCTTTCCACAAATCAGTTTGTCTCGAATTTTTCAAACCATATTTTTAGAACATACGCACAAATCCGTGGATTTCACACAGCCGCCCACTGATTCAGACCAATGCTTATCATGGACCGAAATCCGCAGATAAATCGATGTGTGCGTCGATAGATCGTATGGCATCATTTCGCATCAGCAATATGGATGAAAGTATTTACAGTTCCGGTTATGGCAGTCAAGATAGCAGGTGCAGAGTGTTCCATTTTCCTTTTGGATGAAGTAATTTTCTCAAGATATCTATAGAATTCCTAAGGTTCAGGTGCGATTCACTTCACAACATCATTAAAAGTCAAAATGGAATGCTCGTGAAAAAAAATCCTAAAACTAAACAGAATAAGGTTCATTTCTATTTGAAATAGCAAGAAGATGTGGAGAAGAGATTTCCTCCACTTACCAAGTTCTTGAATTCTTCTAACTGTAAGCTCTTATTCCGTTATTCAGTCCGGAATCGTCAGTGCATTCACCGGATTGGCAACCATCAGTCGCAACTGCAAAGTATAGTCGATTAGAGGATAAAGCGGTGGAATGCAATTCAATTGATGTGGATGAAGCTTTAGGGCTAGATTTGGAAAACAAATTGGAAATGGAGGATCTAAAAACAATTGATGCTGACGATCGGTTTCGCAAAGACGACGAGCATCTATATTATGAACTAGAGGTCTGCTCTTACGCGTTAATTGGAAATTACCAGTGAATTCTATCAGCTATAATGAAAATGACTTCCTCAACCTTAACTATGATTACACCAACATGCAGCTACCATCCACTCAATTCACAAGCCACTTAGTACAGAGATTTTCACAATAGTCCTGATTGAGTGACACAATCAGTCACTGCTTCCAGCACATGAAAATGAAATTTAGCAAATCTGTATTTAACCCTGTGCTTGGCGGCGACTTGTTAGATTTCGAGCATTGTCGTTGGGATACGACGATGTGTCCGGCTGGAGAGAGAAAATCGAAATCTTTGTCCCAGTGCTGACTTGATAGTATTCAAGATTATATGAAATAATTTAGAGTTTTGAATTGTAGGTCTTCAACCACTTATCATCGCTACTGGATAACCAGACCTATTCGCCGAATTTGGAAATTGCTAGCTCATCAGGTGGATCGCTGCATTCCCCCCAATGTTTATTACCAGTTTACACCCAGCCAAATCGTGCCCATCATAGCCCACATTATTGCCACTGTGAACGAGAAGGATGTGAGGAGGACCAAGTGACTGAGTATCCGAACGTGGCGTCCAGCTTCATTTATATTCCTTGTCCTAACTATAGGCCGCCACCCAAATTTCACCCTCCTCCTCCACCATTTACCACCACCACCACCACCACCACCACCACCACCACCACCACCACCACCACCACCGCCACCACCACCACCACTTCCTCTACAAACAAACGATCTAGAAAAAGTTGAGCTGGATTTCCTGACTGAACTGGATGCGCAGATTGCTGAATTGCAGGTAATTAGCTTTTCTTGCATTCGAAGGCTTAGAGTTCCCGTTTTCTTCTTTCGGACTGTGCTGCATAGAATTGCTGGGAGTTTGCATTAAATTAGCTAAGTTTTGTAGCGATTCCAAAGCTTGTCTAATGCAATCTGTGGATAATTTAAATAGCCATTTAATTGATGCTTGAATAAACTGCAACGACTTGGTTGCTGGCACATGGAAAGGGAATG